CTTTTTCTCAACGAAAGGATGATGCGAGAGGAGAAAACAAAAACCTCAAGCCAAAAAAAAGAGTCAAAATCACATATTTGAAGGCTATACTGTGTCAAGACGATGAATGCGATCGCCTCCTTATCTTTCAATGTACCACAAAGATGCAGATCAATGGGCGAGTGAATTTGGCGTAAGTCATGTTTCATGGATACACAACCTTTTGCTTCAGCATTGTGGAAACAACAGCAGCAGCAACAAAAAGACGCACGAGAAAACATAAAATGACAATTGGTGTTGTTGTGCGCAAAACCAAAATGAAATCAAAAGCAAAGTAATGCCGACCCAAACCAAATCCACCACATGAGGGAAAAAAAACGCGCACACACACTCTTTCTTAAGCCGATCACATTTTGTTGTGAGTTAAATAAATTTCGCTCATATGGAATCGAATATGGGCATCACTATTTTAGCAATGGACTTTGTTACGACTTCGCCAAAGAGATTGAGATGATCGGCAGAAGCGTGGACGAGCACGCTGGCTTGTTGAAAAATCGTAAATTTTATTTTAAATTGCTTTTGTGGTTATGTACGTTTTTCTTTCCTTATTATTATTATTATTATTATTGTTTTTTTTTTCTTCGTGAATTTCCGCAGAAAAATTTCAGGATGAAAAAAAAAAGAAGATTTGACTTAAGAAACCGAGTGACGAAGGCAGTATTTGATCTTAGTTCTCCTTATTCATACTGACAGCTGAGCAACAAAGCACACAGCACAAACATCCGAAAATGTGTTGTCTCAAGCCCACATTCAAATGCATATCCCATATTCGGGCCGGCCCGTTCATCAAACGAAGCGGTATTTGGGTGTTTCAATGTTATTTAGACACACAGCAGACGAGAACTGGCGAGAAAAAGAAAAAAACTACGCACACAAAAACCGACCGAATGAATGTTTTCATTGAAGATTTCGCATTTGTTGCGGCTGCTGCTAAATTCATCTTTTCATTCACCTAAATTACGGTGTAGCTTTTATCGATTTTCTTCGTTCGGCTCGTTGAAATTGCACACATAAAAACGCACATAAATATATTTCGTTTTTTCGATCTCTCTCTCTCTCTCTCTCTCTCTCTTTCTCTCTGTTTTCCAGAGTTTTGGCTGAGTGAAAATCACCTTTTATTAAGAAGCAAATGCATGGATTTTATTGCATATTAGTTTATTTTAATAAATCTATTTATGGATTTATTTTACGAGCCATAATAATTTTCAATGTGTGTGTTTTATATTCGACTATTGAGCGAACAAATCACTTGTGGGCTGAGGTTTAGAATTAATTTGGGGATAAAATGCTTTGTGTCCCCGATCATTTGGCGTGCGTTGATGGGTTGTTTGTCAGTTATGATTGCTGAATTCTAAATTGCTCGATGCTAAATGCTTTTCGTCACAATGAAAAGCGAGGTAAGGCAACGCAAGGCAAGACACGACGATGCGCTACACTGAGAGAACAACAAAATGTATGCATTCAAAATACTGGCGGCAATCCGAAAGTATGCCGAAGACAATACAAGGCATCGTCCGTCAAAGAGATCTTCTATAAACGGAAAACACTGTGAAATAACAAATTCGATGTCTGTGGCATAGCCGATGAACCATCTGCACAGCCATCTTTGCATTGTTGGTGGACTCCCTCTGCAAAGAGCCATCCATCCAGTCAGCAAGCCAGCAAGCCAGCCAGCCAGCTCCAACCGTGTGTGTACATTTTACGCTTACGCGCCCCGCAATATTTTGTGTATAATAGTCATAAATTATCGGCCATCAGTCGGTCGTACACAAACATATTCAATGTATCTTGACGTGCATTTGCACACTGCAAATATCACGTTTCGCGTGTTCAGATAATATGGCTCCGTAGTTTGAATGACGAACATAAAACAAGACATCGTTTCGAATATGAGACGCGCGCATGATGAACAACAACAGCAAAATGAAAACGGCAAAAATCGTTGCTGTATGTACATGCTTCGAATGCATGCATCTATTCCGCACAAGAATTATATCGTTTTAATGAAATAATTGCAATGCGGTATTGTTAATGAGATAATTGACGGCTCCGGTAGATGTTATGCATTATCAACATTTACATATTCGGCTCTTGGTTTCGCACATGGAAAATATGGGAAGCGAACTGAACCGAAATTTCAACGACGCCTGAAATTCTATACAAGCAAAACGACTAACAACACTGGAGCTGTCATTTTTGTTCAAGTAAGACTTCTCACCATCTCTTGTCTTGGATTTTACTTTTCTCGATTGTGCATACATCTGAAGATTGGGATAGAACGACCGAGCGAGCGTAAAAGAGAGTTTTGTGGATGTTGCGAATGGGCAAAATGCCTCTAAGACATAACATTAACTTTAACATTCAAGAGCCGTTCGAGCAGTTTTATTAACATTTTGATGCTTTGTTGCAATTTCTATTTTGCATACAAAGAAATGAATTTCGACGGAATCCAAGCAACAATACGCATGTGTCGCCAAAAAACGCTGGATCTGCCTCGCATTCTGTTGTAAAATGCTTGCCGCTCTTCAAACGGACTTTTTTTATTTTGCTATAAAACCAAGGCGAACATCGAACCGCTTTCTTTGATACTGATAGTGAATATCTAACCTTTTTTGCATTCCTCGCTTACATCTTCGTACGATATAACAAGAAAGGAAGGCTTGGCGAACTTACATACAAAAAAAGTTGCGGTTGGGTAATATAGTTGTGGCATTGCCATTCGATGATTTGTTATAATAGTGCAAGGAGCGAGGTTTCAATCCAAATCAAACATCTACAAATACACAAAAAAAAACTTCTGTTCGGAGCACAGAGCGAGAAAACAAAACAGAAACACAAGAAGCGAACAGAGAGCTGCGTTTTGCATCCGTTTGCATTTGTACTTGCAATATAAAAAGGAATGAGTGCGCACGTTTAGAATAGTTAAATGATGTTAACTGTTGCGTTATCACAACTTCCTTTTGTCGGTGTGCCGTACAATTTACGATGCTTGGTTAACATTGTTTTCTTTGAAGTCTCTTTTATCGTTTTTAACTCAGGCAAACCCTGAACTGCCTTGCGCAGAAAAAAAAAATGTTCGGTGTTCGTTCGCTGTCATCATCATACGATCGCTTCGGAAAACGAAACAAATGCTCATTTGCATACAACATATTTCAGATTGAAGCCGAATCAAGTCAGGTTATGAACGACGAACGCTGAACCAACCACAAGTTCAGTGTGTTCGCATTTATTTATTCCGTTTTGCATATGGTTCGGTTCGCGCTCATTTTTGTTTTATTTTCTTTTTTCTTTTCCATTTATTCATTTCGTTCGTTTGCTCTAATGAAGACAGGTTGTGGTATCAATGTGGGTAGATACTAGATATTAATGTTTCCATATGCAGACGTGACTGTTTTGTTAGCTCATTCCGAAGTCATTGAACAAAAAAAAAAAAGGAAAGACTTTTTCACCGCCTTTATTCGACCGGCTGGTGTGTTGGTGTAAATGAGAACACAAATCAGAATATTTCCAGAATAGTACAAATTAGCACAAACAGTCGTACAATTGATTTCCGGATGTCATTTTAATCATGAATCATTATACCGCTTGATATCGAAGAGCCGCATTGTTCGGTTGGTGTAGGCCCAAAGTAGACTTCAAAAACAGAAATGACTTGCAGCCATTCGACTTGAGTTGCATGACATCAATGCATTTTGCTTCTTGGTTGAGCACAAATAAAAAAGCAAGCAGGCAGGCAGTCAGTCGATCAAACGAATCAAGCACCAGATGCATTTTATTGGAACACAAATTGCCACCATGCGATTCGCGAGTAAAAAACAATGCTGCTGGCATCGAACGAATCAAACGGCTACTCAGCCGTCCAGTATAACAAAAAAAAAAACACTAAATTATACCGAAACAAAATTATCATGCGAATTACCAATAATTTGTTGATTGTACATGTACATTTGCTGTGGTTCTCTTCCGAATTTTTCGTTGTGTTTCATTTTCAACGATCGGCTCAGTCTCCATGTTATCAAATGGCTATTAAGTATCATTATCTATCGACATGTTTTGTGCATTCAAAATTATATGCATAAAAGGCTATGGTCGACTGTTCGAAATGTGCAATCAATCGATGAGCATTCGCCGATACAAAATAGAATGAAGTAAACTGCTAGGAGGCACACATAATGATTTGGTGCGCGGATGCGAGAGTGAGGGAAAGAGTGAACGAATATACTGCGTTCAATGATAAGGTTTGCATGGGGAGTGAAAAGTTGTTTTGTGAATTAACATGCTGCAATTTCGTTTGGCTGTTTACAATTCGAGGAAAATTATGCTTTGATGGCGGTTCGATTTTTATATAAAATATACACTGTAATTTTTCACTCTGCAAATGGTATTCTTTCTTCTCAATCGAACCAATGAACGAACAAACGAACATCATGACAAAAAAAAAGGTGGTAAATCCCATGAACGCACAACCAAGCACACAGCAATGGCGTTCGAATTGATGTGAACTCGTTCACATAAATGGCCCAAAACTACAACTGATGAATGCTTTGATGCACACACACGCACACACATCACATCGACACTTGCTGATCTAGTTGTGCGGTGGAAGTTTCAAGAAATTATTGAATTAACCATAAAACAAAATGACCGGATGATGATATTAATGCTCATCGAATGGCCACAGATTACGCTTACTTTCAATGGAAAAAATAAAATTAAATGTTGCCATTGTGTTGGCACATCGTCACAGTTAAATGATAACATAAAACTGAAGTGAGAAATTTCTCCTAATAAGACAAAAAGAAAACAATAATCTTCGTGGTGTGATCATCGAGACGGGTTCGAGTCGAAATTTGTGACCCGTGAACAAAACAACGTTTTCTTTTTCGTTTCATTCTCTTTTGTTGCAGCAAACGATTTTTCTTTTGCATTCGAAAAATTCTAATTAATGTATCGTTACTTACCTTTTCTAATTCTAAGAGGTGAAACCGAAGTACTTGAATAGCTTGTACCATCTGTAAAAAACCAAACAAAGAAACCATTTTTAGTAAACTTGATTTTTGTTTTCCGGGCAAAATATGTTATGCAACATTATAACGATGATTGAATGCAACAGAGGCGGCATATTTTTCGGCCAGTGTTGCTTGGGCTCATTTTTATGTGGATTTTATTCGGTTGGACAAGGAATTTCGTTCAACGCCAAAACAATAAAATTAACTAAAGCAGCAATATGTCGAATGAAATTGATGAAAGGCAAACATCGCTTAATATTCGCGTATGAAGTGGCTTCTTTACGGATTTGCTTCTGCGCTCACTTTAGCCGAATAATTTGCATTTTAATTTGTCTCATATGCTAAACGCTGAGGCGCAGAAAAACGAGAACGCGCGCGCGTCGAACGCTCGTTCGCGATGTGTACTTAATACACATACGGATATGTGTTGTCGAATATATATTATACACACAACCCAAAAATAAACCGGGAGACTCGAATGAAGATTTCTTTGCATCTTTGGGTGACTGAACGCTGACATATAAGTAGAAATTTCAATTTAAATTCCAGTTCCCCAACTTCTCTTTCACATTTTATTCGATGGTTTTTTGCGAATGAGACTCGATGAGAGAAAGAGATTTTGATTGGTGTTGGCTTGTTCTGTGTCCGTGGTGAGAGAAAGAGAGAGAGTGTGCTGAGTATGCTCGATGGAATGTTGAAAATTATTTACATATTGCGCGAAAGCAAACTAGACGCTTCAAATATTATAACAACAAAATTTGAGCGATTGCAATTTATCAAATTTGCAATTGAATTACAATCAACCCACTCTGAATTTTTTTCAACCGCGATCATTCATTAAATTCCATGTATCGCCTCATGTTCGAGCTGAATGTTTTTGGCAAGAATTTTGCCGTTTCTTGCGTTGTTCCATCGAAATTCTCAGGTGGACAATCGAATTTTGGGTCTATAAGAAAAGAAACCGAGCGATCAAAATTTTTGGAATGCAAATTATTTAGAAGTTAAATGCACCGTGAATTTATCAGTGGGTAAATACACTTGCAGCAAACAACTGCATTGGGGCAACAAGCGGCCACAGAGTGAGACAAGAAACAAAATGATATTTTGATCGTTTGAATAACGTGCTCGTTTCCATCATATCGATTGTTCCATTTTGGTCCGTTTTATATGCTGATTTGTGTAGACAAACCATTTTCTTCTGCGGTTGTGGTCTTTTATTCGTGCATTTAATTTAATTGGGACATTTTTCGCGGTACACCTTTTCAGCAAATCTCAAACATACCACAGTTTTTTTTGGGAACTCAAAAGAAAAAACAAACTCTTCGAGTCACTTTTACACGAATAATTTTTCTTTCTCCTTTGCATATTATTCTAGAATATCAGCGGAATTTATGCACCACATAAAACCATATACGAATACGTGCATCGAATTATTTTATGTTACTTTGCCATATTGTATTGAAATGGTAGAGCCGTTGTTCGCAACACATTGGCTCAGTTGGCAAAAGAACATGCAAAAGATTAATTAAAGCCGGTTTCGGACACAGATGACAATTAACCGAATAAAATGACTTCAAATTGAAACAAAATCCTCATGCAAAACGAGCAGAGAATGCAAATGACGATGGAAAAAAAAGGCGCGAGTCGTGTGTGAAACGCGTGTTAATTACATATGTTGAAATGCTTGACTATGCACATTCTACCGTATTTAATTTGTCGATTCTCGCGCGGGCGCAAAACAAATAAAATACTTATATTCCCATTCCATATCATGGGGGGGATTATAATGATAGTTGAAGCGATCAAATATCACATAATTTCCTCAAAAAAATGAGCCCGTCGCTTATCCTATTCTGAATATGGAAAGTAATACTTACAAGTGAATCTACTTCGTTATCGGCCGAATAATATGGTTGTTCTGCACGGATCTGTAAATAAAAAGAGAAAAGAGAAATCGAATCAAATTATTTAATGGACTTTAACTAAATATGTTTAGATCTTAGTTATCTATATACTTCTGCAGGTCAAATGAAGATAGTTTTGATTTTCTGAGTAGTTGTAAAATTGTAAATCCAAACTGTGACAATGAATGAGGTCCCAGAAATTTGCCCATTGTAAACTTTGCCTGTGAAATACCAAATAGACACTCACTACTATCTTTATACGTTATCATTGTTGTATAGTGTCAATGTCATATATTCACTCTTTTCCGAAAACTGAAAGGAAGGAGAATAGTTCCGAAATCCTTTTTTTTTCCAATCAGATCGCTTGCAAAAATGTCAAAGTTGGTGCTGAAATGGTCATAAAATGGTTTATGTCCCATCTGTTCGGAGAAAGCAGTCATTTATCAGGTTAAAAAAAGGTATAAGAAACTTCCATATGGCTTTACGCAAAGTCAACCAAATGTATTAGCCTTTGCATGTTTTGCAATGTCCGTTCGTGCAGTTTATCGTTTACTTCGAGCAATGACAATGCACTGCGATGCGTTTGGTACCGAATTGTTGGTATTGTTTTGACGTTAAATAATAAAACGATAAAAAGATTCGGCTTACCTGCACCTTTAAATGGAATGCTTTTTGTGTATGTGTGTTTTACAGTGCATGGTTATTTTTTTATGATGCCAGACCGATTAACATCATGCTCGTAAAAGTTTAAATGTACCGAAAAATGGCAGAACACGATGAAAGAAGAGAGGGTGAGAGAAACTGTGTATACGTGTTTGTGATGTTGGATGATGTGCGCAAATATGTATGCTAAATTCTTGCATGTAAATTTACGCTCATTTTTTTTTGATGGCATGGCCGTTGAATCTCCAAATAGTATTTCATGCAATTCGATTCGGTTCGGCCTTTTCATCATGTTTTCACTTCAATTTGATTTTTCCACTGTTATATCATTTCGGATGTCGACATGTCTGGCGGAAAAAAGTGCGTCTGTATGTTTAAGGCATGACATGAAAATTCAAAAGTGTTCATTGGAGTTATCAACAGTTGGACCGGAATGAAGATCAACTGAATGCGGAAAAAAAAACACAAAGGGAAATTGGGTGAAGTGACAACTGTCAAATACAGAGTCGAATTTTTTTTTTTGCGCTGGTTATCTTGTCATTGAGACGAGGTGTGCGAATGAGCCCTCGCACAAAGCATTCTCTTCAATAATTCTGCGTTTGATTATCGGGGTGAATAAATCAATTGTCAAAATTGACTTGAATGTTAGCAGTGAATGATTGAAGGGAAGCAAATCGGTCTTAGTGAAACATTGGAGATAAGATCAATCGCACACGCGACCATTCTCTAAAGTTATTTTCACAATTGGTATTTTAAATGTGTGTGGTTGGCAGATATTCACAAGCCGCTTCCAATGTAGATCGATATCGATTGGATGTAGTAGTTTAATATGCTCGCGACGCCGTTTCGCAATATTGCTAAATGGAATCTTTCACCTTCATTTCAATCTTGATTGGGCGTCTCGATATCATTATGTATGATCATCGAATTGACCGTTTCAGCTTCTGTGATTCTGGATGATTTATGGTTCGTCGATTGAACCCTTTTATTCATCAAACTAAATGCTGTAATTAGCCATGTTTACGCATGACCCCTGCGCTGCAATTTTCTGCATATAAGCGTGTATGTGTGTGTGTCTGTGTCTGTGACGTACTCGCCAAAATCAATGTTTCAAGCCGTGGTTTGTAATCAGATTTCATCAATCGAGCGTGGCACAAAAACGAGCGAAACACGAATAAAGAAAAACACACACATTGAGATATGTAATTTTCTATGTTTGAGCCACGCGCTACCCATTCGAAAGCATGTGCGGTACTCTGGTACAGTTGCAGCGTGCGTAACTAACCCTAATATACATATATTCGGTCATAATTTATAGTTTGATTGGATGTACAAGTTGTAATCAAAATTGAGTGAACGTGCGCGGTGACGCGGCGGGGCTGTGCCGCATTCTATTCTCCATCAGCTTCAAGTTCGTCACAAATGCCAAATCATTGTAATTTTCCCAAACACAATCCAGAGCAATGTTTTTCCTCGGCGGTTTCTCATTGTATTCCGTTCGGTTCGCACAGTTTGATTCTCTCGTTTCGTTCTTTCACTCGTCAAAAACCGTGTTTACTTGAAACCAGCTTCCGATGATGTTCTACGATTACGGATGATTTAATGGTGCGTTGGACAAATCACGCATGACCGCCAAAGCACACTCATATTATCTAAATAAAGCAATCACACCTCATCGCTAAACATTGATTTAATTTTTCCCATCGGTGATCATTGCAAAAATAGCAAAATTACATCATCAACTGTTCATTTATAATTTCCTTTATCTCTGTGCCTTTGCACAAGTTTTGTTCGTTATTGTTCGTATGTCAAACGATTAGGAATAGCACTTTTGAGAAATAACATAAAAATTAGCGTTTAACAACCATGAAATAATCGAATGAGCGTTATTTATATATAAATATGTAGTATTTTTTTTTATCATTTCGCACATATGAAGCCGACATTAGGCGAAGAAAAATGGAGTTCAAATTGGATAGGAATTACGGACAAAAACAAAATTAAAATCGATTCGCTAGTTCGCTCTTTTTTTTCTCTTCTCTCAATCGTTCTTCCTCTCGCCATTTTTATTCTTGTGCCTGTGTGTGTGTGTGTGTGTGTGTGTGTGTGCCGTTTTTGTTCGCTCTCCTATTTCGTGTGCATTGCACGGCAATGAGTGCGGCAATGTGTGAATTTTTGCAAATAGAATTCGACATTTCTTTGGCGTTATCTTTTGGCGCGCCAATAAGAGTAACAACAATAATGCAATCGTGGTTATATGTTTCACACGGATAATAAATTATTTTAACGATGCAAGTGACCGCACAAAGTGTAATAAACCGCCTACCATGCAAAAAAAGAGAGTACACACACGTATATATATACGAGCGTTCAAAGCGTTCAAAGCGTTCACTCGATGTGCAATGAAAAAGCAATTTGTTTGCAGTACAGAAAATGCTTTGTGTAGTAAGTATGTTCCAATCATCTCGAGATGATGGTTGTTTGCAAAATAGTTGTGTGCCAAAATGAAATAAGAAACACGTCTACATATGATCGCATCTTCATTTGGATCCATACGTTACGGACGGCCATACAACAGCGATCAAGGCATTTCTTGAGTCGTTTGGTTTCATTTGCATCAAAAATCGAACGAATTATTTCGATCGTCACTACACTCGCACTCGTGAGGGACCACCAATAAACATTCGAATAAGTGCCCATAAGTCATATGGTGTCGACTGTTGAATGTACACTGTACACACACATACACACACACACGTACGCCACAATTCACCACAGCGACTCGCATTTGTTCACAAGTTTGTAATCGATAAAATCGGAACTGGTACTGCTATTTTGCCTACAAATATGCACTAATCGCTGACGCTCGCAAGCCAATCACTTGTGTGAGAAATGAATTATTTTGTTTCTGTTCGCTTAGTTTCCTGCGCGCTCGCGCTTTTTTTTCTCGCTTACTTGTGTGTTGCATTCATTTCTGAATCGTCGGCAGACAGCAGTGGCATAGCACAATGATGAATGTGCGACGCTTCTACAATTTACAATTCGTAGCCAATCAACGCGTAACAAATTATAATTCATTTGCCATATTTAATTATAAATAAATCATATTTTCACACTGTTTCATGTTAGCTCGGCTCCGCTTGATTGTGTGTTACAAATCGCACTGCATTTGATTATCGGATCTCATCATAAATAATAAAAATGCAACAATATTTGCCGGCTCGTTTCTTTTTTTCTTCTTCTGCTGTTTTCGTTTTTCGATTGGAAAGAAATGCCCACTTGATGGGCCCATTCGGTTTTTGGACCGCAACACCGTGTGTATATATTATAATGAAATTGTGACATTAGCAGATACATAAGGTGGGATATTCAAGCTGGCTAAAATGCCAAGAATTCAAAGCATGCGTGCACGAACAGTTTAAATTATGCACTCTCGCGAAATTATTCATTACAAGTGCGAATTAATTAGGACGAAAATGTTTTAATTGCACCCATCATCGCGGTTTTTCAACTCCTTCTTCTTCTTCTTCTTCTTCTTCTTCTTCTTCTTCTTCTTCTTCCGTTTGTCATTCGCATCGGCTCGGATCTGTGGCCTTTGTTTGTTGCAGTGCATATAATTACTGTCCATTTGATTAGGCGGATCTTTCGATCGGAGTGAGCAGAGCGTTTAATGAAATGCTCGATAGTAACGATTGAAAATGATAGTCATGTGCTAAAAATCTGATTTCGAAATGCTTGCCATGTGTGTTTGCTCTAACACCTTCACATTCGGATAGACATCAAGCGGGCGAAAAAGAGGCGATAATAATTACGAGTATGAGCAGCGAACACTTAACTAGGCTGCGAATATCATCGAAAACGAAGAAAATAACAACAAAGAGTACATCTCTCTTCTTTTTTTTTCCATTCCGTCATGGGATCATCTTGCAAAGTGTACTGGCTGGTGTAAAAATGATAAATGTATGCGCTTTTTTGGTCTTAGTTTTTATTTTCGCTTATTTATTTTGGAATTTTTTTTCCATGTTGCCTCTTATTTCTCGCCTTTTTCTCGGGGAAGCTACGACTTCGTTCGTATTTTTTTGTTTGTTTCATTCTCTTCACTCTTTGCATTGTACGGTGTTGCTTCATTATCTGTTTTAATTTTGCGCGCAAATTATAACAAAGTATAGAGAGACAGTAGCAGTGGCAGTGGCAGAAGTAGTCAAAATCGAATCGCACGAAAGCGCAGCTAAAATGTGTGAAAACAAAAAATGCACACACAAAAAAGGCCCGGCAAATACTCCAAATGCAGTAGAAAGAGTACGCAAACATGACGAAGAGAGCTAACGAGAAAGGGAGCGAGTGAATCGAGACAGCGTTCA